GTTTGCAAACTAATAAAACTAGACATTTTTAGCGTTTAGAGAACATTTGTACAATGAAATGTTCCCTTAACATTCTTATAACCATGAAAAAACATTTTAAAATTGACATTTTGAACGTTCAGAGAACATTTGGAAATAACTTTTTCATAACTCAATTGGAACATTAACAAAAAGTTCTTAGAACATATTTGTGGTTAGCTGGATCAGTTCATACAGTCTGACAAGCAGCATTCATAAAAGATGAAGAAATCATACAATGTGCATTTTCCCCTAATATATATAGACCTACATTATGTCAACGGTCATGAAAACTGCAGTCGTGCAGCTGGTTAACACAGTTAGTGGTCATGTGGGTTAGTCAATGTCGGACAGGCCAAGGGTAAGTGAACAAGAGCACCATTAAAGGCAATGAAAGAGTTGTCAACAGTTTATTCATTTCAGACCAACCACAGATGCTTTTTTAAAGATGCTTTCAAATACTCAGAGATGTTGCTAATCTGTGTGCGTACAAAGAAAATATCTATTTAGTAGATGGTAACCATTTTACCACGCTCTTTTTCTAAATTAGTCTGGAATCAACTTTTGGAATCAATTCCAAAACATGGCATCAAAGTCAAAAATTCTTAAGAAGAAGAAGAAGAAGAAGCATTTACGAAAAAAATAAAAAAAGAATAATTAAAATTAAAATTAATGTGAGCTTACACAGTTTGTACTAGTTCCATCAATAATCTTTTAATTTCTTTTCATGTCATCTCTCAATGTCGCACTTCAGCAGTATGTTTGGAGTGTTTTGTTCATCTTGGTAACTGTATGGTGTTGAATTAGATGCGTTGGCAGGTGCAGTAATTTGATCCCCACTCCACATCCTCTGTGTTATGAGTAACACTGGCGGAGAACAGCACTAAGTTTCTCTTCCAAGCCTTTACTTCTGTAAGGACAATTTCAACTACCTGATATATGAGGTTATTTCTCAGTTAGCAAACCTTTTTTTCCAAGCAAGCAACTGATCGGACATTTACTACAGGGAAAATCCCTATAGAGCAACCTGAGCTCAAGCCCGCCGACCACGCCTTTCACCCCAAACCTAAAGGGGAATCGAAGGAGGAGAAGGCGGTCGGCTCCAGCCCCAGAGCTCACTCCAGTGTCGGCTCCAGCCCCAGAGCTCGCTCTAGTGTCGGCACACACTGTCTGTCCTGAGGGACCTCCAGAGCGTCCATCCCCCCTCCCTGTTGGATGTTGTGTGGTGCGAGGACATGCCTTCCGGGAGCGGGGAGTAATGTCAGACTCGGTTCCTTGTTTTGTGTGTGTGTTTTGCGCCCCATGTGCCTTCCTTGCCCTTATTTGGTCCTTCGGGTTCCTTTCCCCATTTAGTTATATTTGTTTCAGGTGTTCCTTGTTATTAGTTATCCTCCTCACCTGTATGCCCCTCGTTATCTGCCCTATTTGAGT